GGGAGATCTGGACGATCTTTATTCTTAAGTTCTTCGGTGTAGAGAGAATGAACAACATTTTATTGATGTAAACCATCGGCGAAATTGTTTATCATGATATTTTTGTATTACTTTAAGACCAGTCACGATGCCGTCGTTTATAATCACGATAAACGATAACAGGCGCGCTAACTGGAAATACAATGGAAATCACCGTACTTTAGTCTTCATAGCGGTAGGAAACGCCTCTGGATCTAGTGGCGATAACTGTCAGCAATCGCTCTTTACCATCTTTAATATCTAAATTACCTGGGACCTTCGATACGGACGTTCATCTTATGCTTAATTTTTCATTAAGAACCAAAATTGAACAGCTCAAAATCGCAACTGAAGCAATAATTAAACAAGCCGCATTCTCATTATCTGCTACCGTGTGAATTTACGTATTACTCTGACTTAAGGAACCATAATCGAAAACAATTACGGCCATTTGTATTTTATGAAGAGGTGAGATGTTTTGAATTGGAAGATAAATTAATGCAAGCATTTTATGACGGATATCTATCAATGGTAGAGGAAACAGAACTAGGTAATGGTTTTCACTTACCTTGGACAAACTACCCTAGTAGCATTCTCGCTTCATTTCGCGGCAAGAATATAGCCTCATCTTACCGCGATTTTGACAAGAAATTTGAAACTTTAGGCATAAGAACGTCACGTAAAGACACTCATATTACACTTAAATCAAAATTTGCTTAGTAAACGGATTCGATTTGGTTGCCGTTTAGCAACACGGTAAGACTATTTGACTAGACAAATTATACAGAATGAATAAGATGGTGTATGTTTTCATACAGAAATGGTAAAGATGCATGCATTACGCGACTTATTTGGCTTTTATTTTTCACTCGATCGAACGTTAGCTATTTATGAATATCGCGTATTAGGAAAACGGTAAGAGTCTAGTATATATGAGAACAGAGATGGGCAACTCCAACTCCAGAGTTGAGGTTCTTTTTAGTGGAGTTAGAATTTCGTTTTTATTAGATTAGAGTTGAGTTCGTGTACGTGTATATATTATATACACGTACACGAAATATAAGTCAAAAGACATGTTCACAACAGAAGGAGAAAGAAAAACTATATTTTACTTTTTCAGTGAACTGTATACAAGTGATAAGTTACAAAAACTTGATTAAGTTGATTTAAATGATAACTTCAGAATAAGTACACAGTAATTGAAAGAGAGAATTGAGAAGCGTAAATAAGATTGGCATATGTACTTATTTTAAACTTAACCTTAAACTGAGCTTGAGACGAATTGCTTCGTGTTCCCGCGGAGAAAATCGGGTAAAACACGCTGAAATTCCGCCTAGCCCAAGAAACGCTACTAAGAGAGCGAACTTTCTTTCCTCTCCAACACTTGTTCGTTTTGGTGATGTTGAACTAAATAGTTAAGTAAAATAGTTTCTATTGTCTTAAATCTTGATTTATTTGCTTGGTAGAAAAAAGTCTCAAGCGTTTGTGGAAGTGAAGATTTTTGCTAGTCCAAGAAAAAAACTGTCTGATGCTCTTCTGATTTCGAAAAAATCTCCTGATTTTCCTCCTGATTTTTTAGAAAAAATCTCCTGATCAACTCCCGATTTCGAAAAATTGGATTTGGGCACCCTGTTCAGTTCTCTTAAATCTTGATTTATAAGTTTGAATTATTTTTAAACTAAAAAAAGGCTTTTTTTATATAGCTCTCTAATGCAAGCTGTTGATTAATATTGAAATTCAAGTTTCAAAATTTTTGATTCATCGAAAAATTAAATTTTAGTTTTTTTCAAATTCGAATGTTTTCTGTAAAAGATATTTTAACGATTATAGCCTATAATCGTTAAAATATCATTGAATGAAAAGAGAACACTTATCATAATGACGCGTGGCCTAGTGGTTATAAAGACAAAGCGAAAGAAAGGTACTACGTAGACAGGGATTGAACCTGAGGTTACTCGATCTCAGGCTTAATTCCTGTCTACGTAGTTTCTTTTTCTCAATTATTTTTGAGATTTCTCTGTCAAGACTGGATTCATCAGGAATTATATCGGGTCAACTTATAATTGTAATTTATATAAAAATTCAGCTGTTTCAGATAATTATTTATATGCATATGAGCAAAGAACTCAAAAGACTCACGTTTGTAGACAGACTTTAGTTTTTCATAAATCAGTAATCCTGAAATAATTGTAAAAGCAAGATATGTTGAGTATATATGACAAATAGCTAAGTTCTAAAATAAAACAAGAGAAATGCTATGTTACTCAAATGCGGAAAACGAATGCTATAAACTAGCGACCTTTGTCAATTTCTTCTTTTCTCTATTCTGCGCGAACGAACCAGAAAATAGCAGTCCATATTTTCTTTTAGTATGTGGAGCCCTTATTTGTGGCAGTTTATTTGTGGCTAAAAGCAGACAACGGAAGCAAAAAGAACATCTGAAAAGTAAAGGTGGATAAATGCAAAAGATAATACAAGTATAACTTCATTCATGTGGAGGGGAAAAGGAGTAAGAAACAGTTCTTGTTTCTAATTCTAAAAACTACTCTATTTTTGGAACACAGTTTAGAATTTCTGGTTAGCGACCGACTGATGGGTACTTTTTCCAGAACGTGTACACTTTGCAAAAAAAGGATATATAAAAAAATCCATACTTAAAAACAGGTGCTCACTAGTACATTATTTTTCCTTTATTGAGGCAATCCGGTTTGTTGAATGGAATTTTGGTCAATCAGGTTGTAGATAATATCCATCTTTTATATTTATATCAAATAGATAATTTGTTGACTCATTAATAGAATTAGTATATATACGACTCTGCTTATTTTTCATGATCTTCTTGAAAATATCTGCTAAAATTTTCTCTAAATTGTGGACTGGAAGACTTGGTGTTATTTCAAAAGACATTTTCCCTTGAATTCGGTACCAGTCTTCTAAGATTTTTCCGAAGAAGTTCTGAATAAAGTTTGCAATAAACTATTCTAATTTTTACTAAATGATGGCTGTATTAGGTTACTGTGTTCTCCCACTTTTACTTTAATACGTCACGCTCTCAATGACGAGACGATCTTCCAAAAGAACGAATGAATCATCCTAGTGAATGTACTTGGCACAAGCACTTCGTAGTAATAAAATCAAGTATTGTAATCTTGCTGAAGTGCTTATAAAATTTCATGACAAATACTTGCACCTTCTCTAGGTACTTACCAAGTAATTAAGTACGTTGACTAGGGTAGTACCTTTAAGATTATGAGATTTACATTTCGATCAGCTAATTTTGTGCTGTAATATTTTCTTCTTTTTCTTTCAGATATTTCGATATCGTTAGACACAAAGAATCAGTCTCGGCTCGAACATGTCTCACCAATCTGGTATTACCGGTTAGTAATTAAAGTAAGTCGATTCGTTATTCGATTTACAGGTATGTTTTTCTTCTTTTATAGCATCGGATGTGCTACGTGAAAAATTCGCTCAAATAAAAGATCACAATTCTCATACACGTCTATTGACGGTAGTAATTGAGCACGGTAAGAAAACAATTAGTAAAAGTTCACTTTACACAAGATAATTGATTTTTCTTTCTTCTTAGAATCGCTTGTACCCAAAGAACAATGCGATATTGAAGGCTCCTTTAATGAAGGTAGAAAGTCAAAATGTTATATTCTCTAATATGTTTTATTTGTTTCTATATAGATTTTGATCAATTACTCAATTCATTAGTCAAACCTGATCGATCTTGTTATTATTTTATTCGTCTTGATACAACAAATGAAACAGGTGGTTCCAATTGGTTATTGATCACATGGATTTCAGAAGATGCTAAAGCATGTACAATCAGACATAAATATTTCGATACGCTAACTAACAGTTAATCGTTATTTTATAGGTTCGAGATAGAATGCTTTATGCCTCCTCACTTGCCACACTGAAAAGAGAATTTGGTCCCAGTTATATAACGCGTGAATTTCGAGCAGCATCATTAGTATGTAGTTCATTTGATATTAGTAAGACTAACAAGATAGAGTTTGTTCTTCCAGGATGAGATGACACTAAATGCGTACAATAAACACGTTGAAACACAAGAAGCTCCACCACCACTAACAATGAGAGAAGAAGAAATGCTTGAAATTCAAAGTCGAGAAGTAAGTACACAAAATAGTTTACTGAACACAGTTTACTGTTAAATAATTCTGTTTTACTCTAGGCGAAAGCGGATATTAGTGTTGATACAAGACATCCAACATTACAAGGCTTATTTTTTCCATTTGATGAAAATGTTATTGAAGCACTCCATTTATTTAAGAAACATTCAGTCAATTATATTCAAATGGTATGTTTATAACAAACAGAGTTATCGATCATCTTCCATTTCAGACAGTGTTATCCCACTCAGATATTTATTTTTTTTATCAAGAAAACAAAAGCAGATCTTAAATACTAAGAATTTTCTTTTGCAAACAGTCAATTATTTCAAAAAGGATTTTTTGTCAAAACAAAAGAGCAGGAAAGTATCACCTTTAAAAGTGCATTAAGTATTGCTTTTTTAGTATTCCTCTCAATATTTCCATATGTCATACCTTTTTTCTTTAGGAAATTGATCATGAAAAAGAGCGAATATTATTATCACATTCAGATGCAAATATGACACCAGAAAAAATTCAACAATGTATGCCGAACAATGAAGGCCGATATCATGTTTATCGATTTGTTCATGAGTTTGACGATGCTCCATGTGAAAACGTGTGTAAGTAGAACGATTAATTGATTTTACTTCTCGAATAAAACATTACAGAATATCTGAAACGAAAATTAGAGCTAATAAATCGAATCCTCTCGTAACAAAAAATGAGCAGACTCTATTGTTTTCATATATTCTTACTTTATCTCTGATTAGATAATTTAACTATCCTATTTTTTAGTATCAATCTATTCAGTTCCCGGATATGGTTCTGCCATCAAACAACGAATGATTTATGCAAGTTGTAAAGAGAGTGTAATCGATTATATTGAAAAAAAGTTTGCTGTTGTATTTGATAAAAAGGTGCACATGATCGTTCACAACTATAACGCGCTGTTTATACGAATTATATTTCTTTTTACAGATTGAGATAACTGAGCCGAGTGAATTGACAACCGAGTATCTTTTTCAATTATTACATCCAGTCGAAAATCGAACATCTTTAAAAACACAATTTTCAAAACCAAAATTGCCTGGAGCAGGTTCACGTGGACCAAGACGACTGGTTAAAACAACAGATGAAACTTCGTAAGAAACATTTTCTTCTCTATACAATTTGGATTGAGTAGAAATACAGTTTTCCAATTGTCTAGTTTTTCTTTTTTGTTGTTATCCATCAATCATTGATAAAAAATATTCAGTTTTACCCGTGATTGAAATTCAGCTGTGTAATATTGTCATTGTTTAAAAAAATTGTTTTTATTTTAAAGTTTTTTCTTACCTTTATTTTTTACACTGATATAGAATATAATGTGTTTATCTTTCATGCTAATTGATCTCTCAAAATATTTCTACTTTTTTCTATAAAGTGCAATTTAAAACGTCGCGTTTTTGGTCAAAATACGTTCTGATTTTTGTCTTGTGTGTGCTTTTATATATAATAATTATCCGTTTGATATTTTTAATGCATTTATATTTGACTTGATTTAGTAAAATATAAAAAGAAATATAGTTAACAGAATTATATACAGAAATAGAGATAACGTTTTTTTAATAATGGAAGAAAAAAAATCAATCCAATACAATTTTATTGTAGATTACCTTGCAAAAAGATTTATGGCGTTATTTAACCGATCTTTACATTTTATTCGATTTTATTCAGCAACTACAAAAGCAGCTTGTTCGACTAATGATCAAAAACAGTTTTCTGAAATTGTCAAACAGTTGTCAAAATTTTCGTCACGGGATGATCTTCTAGAATATAGTCAACGTTCAGTACAATATCAATATCCGTTGCGTATGATGGAAGAGGCCAAAAAACAGCAACATGATCAAAATAGTTTAATTGAATATGCTCGCTTTCTAAATGATGAATTAAAGGTACGCGTAGCACATTGTATTAGTCACTTTCAAATGTTACCATTTTTACCTGCTGCCAATCCTACACTACTTCGCCTTCATGAACGCTATTTAAATTTATTTGAAAAATTAAATCATTTTCCAGAAATAGTAACAAAAAATGATGAAGAAAAATTTTCGCGATTAATTCAGATATTTATGGAATCAAATACTGACGTCATTGGTCAATTGTCAAACGGATGTCGAGAGAGTGCCAGGTATTTTAAAATATATGATGTTATGAAACAATTTCTCGATAATATCTTGTTATCCCGTTTATCCATGCGTTTATTAGGCGAACATTATGTTGCATTACGTCGTCCTAAACCAGACTGGTTAGGTGCTATTTATATGAAATTCATCCTCAATGATCTTGTTCAAGGATGTATAAACGATGTTTCAACAATTTGTCATGATACTTATGGCGCTGTGCCTGCTGTTGTGATAGATAATAATCTTCCACAACCGTTTCCATATTTTCCTAGTGTTGTTGAATATATTCTACGAGAATTATTAAAAAATTCAATGAGAGCAGTTGTTGAACATTCTAAAACATTATTATCAAAATCACAGAATCTCACAACATATTTTGAATCAAATAGAAATAAACCACTAATTAAAGTGACATTCACATCTGATCCAGCCGATGAACATTTTGATATTGTTATCAATGATCTTGGTGGCGGAGTGGCCGATGAGGAACAAGAAAAAATATTTGAATATATGTATACCGGTCAATCTGAACATCATGAAAAGGCATGTGAAAGTGAAACGGATATGGGCGATGATATTTTAAGTGATTTTCAAGAACGGATGGTTCAATCGTCTAAACACATGTTTGGCTATGGTTTCGGATTACCTGTTTGTCGTTTATATGCTCAATGTTTCAACGGATCATTAAATGTTCGACAAATACCATCGCTTGGAACTGATGTCTATCTGAGATTGTCGTTTATAGAAACAACGAATCAGAATGTTAAAATTTAGTATCTTGTCATTGCCTAGTCATAGTTCAATGGAAAAGGTTTTTCTAGAAGTATATGTATTTATTTTTATAATTTTATGTTTTTAGATTTTTGGTCAGCAGTTTTTTAATCTCATTTTAAATGAAGACTAAGATCTGTTATTTTTATACGATCTCTACACTAGGACAGATTTCGAAGAAGAGAAAAATGAGAGAACGTTTTTTAGGTACATGCCTTATTTCTCATGTAAAGAGTGTCGTTGAGAACCAGAATGGCAAGAGCAAGCATCTTACACTATACAATAACCAACCGATAGAATTAGGAAGTTCCAGGCTATTATACTGGGACAAAAATATAATTTCTTTCTCGTTCAAGCGTGCATTCCAATCAAATACATTTTTCAGAAATAAAAACTCTTTGTCGTGAGTAGGATACGATTAAAAGTTCAGTTCAAAATACTGAATCATTAAACTGAAATTAAAATTCAAACGATATCTGTACCCTATACATCTGTTATAAATCAAGTATAGGGTAACTAAAATAAAAACTAACTTCAGTTATGTCATGTACGACTGTTCTACTTTCGAATCATCTTTTTCCCAAATCTGTACGATCAGAGATGACAGAGAACGGTGAGTGAAAAAATCGATTCGAAAGTGTAAAGAAAGAAAGAAAAAAGAAGAACAGATGTGCTTCGGTTAAAAGCCATAAGCCGATAGTCGTTTTACCCAGTCGGCTTAACTATGAATAATACTTTTTGAGTGAAAGTATTTTCACTTTTACTTTTATACTTGTACTTGTCCATGCTCTGCTTTGACAGGCTTTTCCAAACGCTTAAGTTCAAACCGGATGTAACTGAAATTGTTATCGATAATGCCTGTACGCATTCAGTTAAAGCCTTAAGTTTCACCATTGATTGAATAACATAAATCTTGAAATAGTACGTAGGCACCTATGGCCTACGGACATAAAATTTCGACATTCAAAGAATCTTTTGAATGATGTTTGATAAAAGCAGCAGCTTTTAATAACGGTTGTGCCACTTGCTCAGATGCTGTCGTGGATGATGTCTCTACAGAAGAAGAAATTCGAGTATTTCGTAGCGAAAATCGCAAATCCAAGCAAAAAGTATATTCTCCTTCATACAAACGATTCTGCTATTAACGACGGACTTGTGAATCTTCTTTAATAACACGATCATAAACAGCAGTTACCAACTGTCTGATTGTTTCTGTTACTGTGTTAACAATCGTAAGATCTTTATTGAAACATAATCGACATATAATGATTAATAACTAAAGATATCATCATGTGTGAATCATTTCTATGTCAAGTTTAGTGATTTCATTCGCGCACCTATTAGAGTTATGTACAACGATGATATATTATCATCAAAAATCGAAAAAGAAACATAGAAGGATTTTCTCGAGTTCATCACTGTTCATATCGTCTACTACTGTTCGAACTGGAATACCGCAAAAAGAACATATGTAGAGCAAAAAAATTTTAAGAAAAAAAACAAATACATCGAAATTTATAGTTTCAAAAATTTTAAAATCCAAATAGAAAATGTTACGTTGGTAAAAGTTAAATTATTGATGATTCGTAATCAAGTATCTCATACCGAAAAAATGATCGAAAAATTCTCTCGAACTTGTGTTTTGCACAAAATGAAAATAAACTCGGTTTTGATTAATGTTTTGAGTTTAACCGTGTCGTCAACAGTTTACTTTGATCTAAATCGACTAATATTTTAGTATGGTGTCCTAAATCGTTTTTTTCACCTTTTTGCATACTACGTGTACGAATTAACATCGGTATGATTTTGAGACATGATATTAATTTGAGTGTTAAACCAGCAAGACACAATGTTTTAATGAGAGTAGACGCCGTACGTGGATTCATGTGAATTTCAAATGTTTCGCACGTAACCACAGCAGGTTTTTCTTTATTTGCTGGAAACATATTTCTAAACCATAGCCATAGTGAATCACTCGTTGCTATATGATTTTTCTCATGAATAACGTGTTTTAAATGTGAAGTGATTATCGGTTTTGGACATTTACTAGCGACTAAAGCAAAAGAACGGTAACCATTTTTTGCCCAATAATATTCAGCGTATGCACATAATAAACCAAGTCCAAGGCAACTGATAAAACCTTTGCTCATCATTTGTACGACTTGATGACGATTTCTTTTATTATTTACCTAATTAGAAGCATTAAAGCGTTTTTTAGATTTTAACTATTCTTCTTTCAATTTTTACTCCTTCGAAGGGCGTAACAATCTTTTCTTAAACAAATCCAAGTATTTGGAAGAGAATGATACAACGGCGCGAAATGATACTTACAATGATCAAGTGGGAGTTCAGTCAAAGGTAGAATGAATACAAATAAACTGCAGTAAAACTTCTGTATGAGGGCTTCTACTAAAGTGAATACTTCTAGGGGGGGGGCTTCTTCTTCGTTCTGAAGACGTTATAAAATAGTCGCAAAACCCTTTTTTTATTGGATAAGAACCTGCCAAAAGTGGGTTTTCTAACGATATATGAATCTACCATGCACGGCTAGAAATTTTTATAGTATTAAGTTACTTCCACAATGGATGTAGTTGTACCCGTCATCACTATAAAACACTGGATTAAAACGTTTATTGTCCATTTGTGTTTTTACTAGTCATTTTTGACTAAAAAGACCGACACCACCCACGCGGTTTTGTCTTTTCATGATATTCAGATTGACCGGTATACATATATTCAAATGTTTTTTCTTGTTCCTCATCGGCCACTCCGCCACCAAGATCATTGATAACAATATCAAAATGTTCATCGGCTGGATCAGATGTGAATGTCACTTTAATTAGTGGTTTATTCCTATTTGATTCAAAATATGTTGTGAGATTCTGTGATTTTAATCCATAATCATCTCAATTAATCGCGAAAATTTTTCTTCATCATTTTTTGTTATTATTTCTGGAAAAAGAAGTATTTCAGAAAACTCAAGTTTAAAGAACTCATAGTTTTTAGAACTCAGTTTGAGTTCTTTATTTTTTGAGTTCCGTATTACATTAGTATTCCGTACATTAGTTCTTTAGAAAACTCATCTTTCAAGAACTTCAAATTTATTAAAAAGCTAAGTGGCTAGCTACAGCTAATAGTAGCTACAGCTACTAATATAGTGTACATAAAAAAAACAGTAATATATTGTTTAGAAATATTTATTTATTGACAAAATCTTGAATAACTTGTGACATTACAGACTGACGATCTGTATTAGGATGCAAACTATCACTTGAGAGACGTTTTGTTCCTATTTTAAAATCAATTAATTCAAACTTATTATTTTCTTTATTTTTTAATTTTTCAAGTTTTTTGTTATATATTTTAAGCCGTTTAAATATTGCTTTACCACTATTATCACCATTTCGACGAAACCTTACACTGTTTTTACTACGATATGGTACTTTACCCATGATTAATTGTATTTGTGGAAATTTTTGAGTGAATTTAGATATAAACTTATTTATAACAGACGATGAGCGTTCCCTTACCAAGTCGTTAGTTCCGATAATCACTATAGCTTGTACTTGATTTCCGAAAGTCCATCGTGTTCTGTGGAATTACATATAACATTGTTTTTTTATAAGCAGTTGAATTTTTATTTAAAAAAAATACAGCAAATCGGGCTTTCTCCCACTACATGCTGTCAAAAAGTAAAATTTAAAAAAAGGTAAGAAAAAAAAGCAAAACAGATAGAAGAAAAAAACTTCTTGAACAGTAGAGGAGAGTGTTCCTATGTGTCAAATAGAGTCAGGTGGTGTTGATAGTGGCTTTAAAGCAATCAGACAAGCTACCAGATACAGTACTAGTGGAAGCGTCGAGTATCTGTAATATATTCTAGCACATATAACATTTGTTAATCGATCTATCCGACAACCACTAATGGATTTGGTTCTAACCGATGTATCAGAAAAACTAAGACGAGATATTAAGCTATCATCTATCACAATCATTTTCCTAATATTAAATCTAGAACATAGCATGTCAATTTTTATCGTCTATTCATTTTCAAGTGAATAATACAAAAAGAAAACGCATCGTAATTAATCACAGCTCCATATAACTCTATGGTTAAGTCATTATGAGCACAATTATCATTCTTTCAACCATCAGCATTTAAGCAATTTAATTAATTTACCAGTATTGGATCTTAAAAGAACGGAATTAAGTTCTTCGAAGAACTCAAAACGAAAGCTCAGTTTTTTAAAAGCTGAAGAACTCAAAATGCTTGAAAAACTCGTTAGAGAACTCAAACTTAGTTGAAAAATTGATAATTAGTTCTTTACTTTTTAAAAAAGTTATATGAGCTCTTCAACAAGTTCTTTGTAAGTGTTAAGAACTGATCTTTTTTACTGTGTAGGATTGGCAGCACGTAAAAATGATAATATTTGAAAGTAACTAATACAATGTGCTACGCGCACCTTTAATTCATCATTTAGAAAGCGAGCATATCATGTTGTTATTTTTTGGCATCTTACATTTATTCGTTTAACACAGCATTAATTCATTGGAGACATGCAAACTACATCGTGATTGCTTGCTTGATAAGTACTTGGAAGGGGTGACTAGTATTTTCAAACTAACTTAGTTGCCAAGAACTTTTACAAGTACTTCTCCGAGGTTGCAATACTTGACTGTAGTACTACGAACTGCTTGTGCTAGATACTTAGGGCAGTCGAAAAATTGTAGCGGAGGTACTTTATTTCTACTTTATTTACTTCGAAACTTAGTACTCTATTTTTATAGAAAGCTGGAGAAAACTTCAATCTGTTTTCAAAAGGTGCACAATTAAATTCTCTACAAAACTGATGTTGACTATATTTTGCAGTAATGAAATTCTAAATTTCTAGAGGTCAAACACTTCGATGAAATCAAGTTCAACCAGTTCCCACTGAATTTTGGAATTGCTCCTGTGTAGAATCCTAACAAATATTGGGCTTATAAAATACGATTCACCAATAGATAGTCCTTAGAAATGTCTGCTGATTGCATATACTTAGATATTTTCATTGCTATTTTCTACTTGTTGAATGTCATTTTTTCTAAAAGTCATATTTGGAAAAATAGCGCGATCCTAGCTGCTGTCTTCAGAAAAAAACATTATGAGAAAGCCGTTTATAGCTCAGAAAAGTTCATTAATATAAAGTTTTATACGAAAACGATTTACCTTTCTTCCTACCACAAAAAAAGTGAACGAACATTTTTATAGGGCTAGGAAATAGTTAATTGCTGCAAAGGAGCGATTTTCGTGATCAAAATTAAATGAAAGAATTTTTGCTACGGCAACAGATACCGGATCGAGAAGATATTATATATCTTTGAAAGAACTGTTGATGCACTATCGAAAAATGAATACCTGATCTTCTCAATATTTGTCGTTAGTACAGAAAAAGAATCGTAAAACAATTCCAAAATTCAATGGGAACTGGTTGAACTTGATTCCATCGAAGTGTTCGACCTCTAGAAATTTAGAATTTCATTACTGCAAAATATAGTCAACATCAGTTTTGTAGAGAATGTATTGTGCACCTTTTGAAAACGGATTGAAGTTTTCTCCAGCTTTCTATACGGAAATAAAGTACCTCCGCCACTACTTTTAGGCTGCCCTAAGTACATTTGCGAGGTTATTAATCTTCAACTTTTGGAAATTAGAAACATACAAATTGTTTAATGAATTGCAGAATACCTCTGTTCATAGTAGGAAACATCTCGTTTCACTGTCATCCGCGACAAAGCGGCAACCAATGTCGCTATGGATACGTTTGTAAGCATTGCATTCTTTCGAGTCAAACCTGAAGCGAAAACAACATTGTTATTCTCGACTATGCACAACGAATTCAAATGCACGGATATTACTAGTGGATTCATTATTACAAAACAAGGAAATACTATGACAACATCACGTTTGATATGAGCGATTTCGTACAGTTTTTTCATATACTTAGAAAAAATGTGCATAGACAAGCAGAAACTCAGTGCGTCTCTCAGAAAATTTTGTGCGAGATTTAATAAGTTTCGCCGAAAACGAAGCTGTATTGTTCAAAATTTCTCAAGGAAAGAATCTTGCCGTTTTGAAGTTGGTATAAGCACATTCACTCCTCAAACTCTATAAGATGGACCATATAAGTAATACAACTTGTGTTCATCCGGATTTTAAAAGTTTATGTATTTCTTCTAACCAACAAAGCTATTATTTATTCTCTTCAAATGAGATTCTGTAGTTTTGAAAACACAAACAAAAAAAATAGAAATAGTCATACAAAGCAAGGAAAAAACAACAAAAGCAATAATGATAGCAGATATTTTCATTCTCTTATATTGCAACCTTTACTTTACTGCCTTCAGTTTTCACCATAAGAAAAAAACTAACAATGTGAGAACATCTTCTGACTATGATTCAATTATATAAAATAACATTCACTGTTGTTTTCTTGTCTGTAATCTTAATGAATCATAAATCTTTTTTAGATCCGCACAAAATCGTTTATAACACAGTACACCGTTTTCATCAAAATATTTTCCAACAGATTCAACTAACATTTTTGAATCAGATACATTTAGTGAACCATCGAAATAATCTATCGTTAATCGATAATTATCATCGTATCTAAATTTAGAATAAAATTATCTGGAGACCAAGTACGTGATCTACAACTCGGTCTTAAAAGACAAAATTATTTCGTCAGCAGGACCCTCAGTCAACCAAATTTGAATTTGAGAATCTGCTTCAAATTATGAGCAGAAAAGTTCTCAAATTGCAGAGAGACTTCAGATGGGATCTCAGTTCTTCACTATATAGCAATCTTTTTTGAAAATGTGCCCTCAAAACTTATTGCTTAAGCGCATTTACTTTTTGCATGTTGAATTCAATGCACAATGTGACTCGCGATCAACGCCGGCTTTATCAATCAATCTGGCTACGAAAAATTTTCCACTCTCCACAAATTGCATATATAACGTTAAAATACCAATAAGTATAA